AATGACATGAGGCAAAGTATATGTGAACTGCTGTATGGAAAGTGAATTTGCTCTGTAAATCTTCACCCAAATCACAAAAATAAATAAATAAATAAAATCTCATCTTGAATGAAAGGCACCAGAAGAGATCCATCTATAGTTTACTGTACTATTTATTGCTAGATATTATTTAAAGAAACCCCATAATTATTACTCAGTGTCTAGTTTATAATGAACCAACCAAAACCAAACTCACTCACTGCTGTCCAGTCAATTCGACTCATAGCGACCCCATCTTGAGTTTCTGAGGCAGTATCTCTATGGAAGTAGATTGCCCAATCTTCCTTCCATGGAGTGGCTGGTGGGTTTGAACTTCCAGCCTTCTGGTCAGTAGTCAAAAGCCTTAGGCACTAGATCATCAGAGCTCTCTTATAATGAACAGTGCAGGTTATTTCAGACGTCAGTGTTTTTCCTTGTGTTACTAACATATTGATATTCCATAAACAATTTGATTTATTAATACTGGTCAGGTTTCTCTATTTACTTTGACAGCTATAATATTTAAACTGAGTTTGTAAATCATTCTTAAAAGATGTTTATCAACTTGTACATAGCATGTGCTTAGGATCATGTATATTTTACTTTCTTTTCTCATCTTGCCCATTGATTTATTTTTATTTATTACACTATATGCTCTTTTTTAAATCTTTGGAAATTAGGAAAGTAATCAATAAATACTTACAAATGACAGGAAACTTCAACTTGAGGAAAGTCTAGAGTCTCTTTACTTCTTTCTTACTCTGGGTTGCTATTGCCAAGTGAGGGCAATATAACTGTTGTTTCCATTTTATCATTTTCTATTCCCAATTGAAAGCTTTGAAATCTGGTTTATCTTCCTATTCTATGGAAAATATTTTTTAATGGACTTTGTCACTTTCCAGCCATTTGAACTTGGGAAAGTGACTGGACTTTTCTAAGTCTCATGTCCCATATTTCTGAAATGAAGATATTAACGCTGCTATTCTTTTTTTTTAATGAGGATTAGAGATGGAGTACACAGAGTGATTATCACCATGTCCTCCTCCCACTAGGTGCTTAAAAAATGAGACCAACGATGACAATAGACTCCACTGTTTACTTTCTTCAGATTTACTAACAGCAAAGCTTTCTAGTCTGATGGATTTGACTATCATTTTTAACTGTTTTTTTTTTT